TCTTATACTCATTATTTTATCAGTTGTATATTCATTGCTTGTTTTCGATCTGCAAACGATGGATTTGTCGGAGCTTAACTATCGATATAATGCAATGGCAATGTTAGTACCACAACGAGGCCTCGATTGGATTATCAACCATTATAATGTAACATTTGCATTTGAACGATCCATTGAACCAAATCCAATGAAATCATTCATGGAAAAAATTTATCTGCCCATTGTAGGTCGATATTCTAGTTTTCTCATTGGATCTATTTTGGCGATGAACTTGATGAATGCTGAAAATTCAACTATTGTTTATCATGGAAAGATAAAAAAAAATATATACTTTATATTGATTATGCTGTGTATGTTTGCATTGGTGATGCCAGATGAACCAGCTGAAGTGAATTCTGCAGTATTTACAGTTATGATATCAATTATTCGACAAATATTTGCAGTTTCACAGGCATTCATCCTCTTTTCTGCTGTATGTCCATCCAGTCATCCTTATCATAGTTCGTGGATCCGGTCATTCCTATCACTTTCTATTTGGACCCCAATAGCAAAGTTAAGTTACCTCGTATATGTGCTACATTTCCGAATTATATTCGAACTGATTATGTCTTATGTTCAACTCTTCCATCTTAGAGAGTTTTCATTTGATATTTTAACAACCATATGCTTTATATTAGTGATCGCCATTTGTCTTATTCTGGCGACTTTTTGGTTTCTTCTCGTTGAAAAACCATTCGAACGACTAATTAATCGACTTTTATCTAACAATACAAAGACCAATACAGACTAATCCACTAGAAATAAATGGTTGCACTACATATTACTACTTCGAAAAAAATTTTTGCTACTACTGTTTGAAACTATTGATACTACTACATTATATTCGTTTTTCTTTTATTTTGAAAGTTTTTCGATAATTCTTCGAATTCATGATGAAAAAGCCATTAGCTGAAATGATGCAAAGTTAAAACGTAACCCAAAACTTACCAATTAGATTCCGGGATAAAAATAACGCCCTCCATCCCACACTTTCTCACTCTTCTGAAATAGTAGGGTAGCTTATTACACAGAGTGGGCATTCTAGATGCAGATTGGCCTCAATGAAGGCTGATCACAAGCATCACATTCTGGATCAGAGTGATGAGTGTGACTTTGTGAGATCCTTGATCTTCTTTTTTCACACACCCACATCTTTGTACCATGTTACAGTAAGATACCGAAGAATTAACAGGAATAAATGAATATTAATCACATTATGTTTCATGAATGCTACTCTTATAATAGATTCAAAATTTTTTCTTGAAAGATTCATATCGACATGTTGTGTACGATGGTTCAAATCAGCAAATCCTTTAGCTACTGTCAACTTGCAATCAGCAGAAATAATCAAACTTTGGAGTTTGTTGTCATTTGATACCAAGTGAGGATGCGGAATACAGTTGTCGATCAGAATCTTCTTTTTAAAAATAACCACATCTATCCACATCCCATATCAGAGGTCCGAATGGGACAGGATGAGACAAAAGTTTTTTCAAAAAATAGTACTGAACAAAAAGAGACAAAAAACTTTTTCAAATGAATTCTATGAAAAAATGGACTTATTTTCTCATTAAAAACATGTGTTGTGACATAATTTGTATCTTTTATTATTTTATCTTCTATTTACCAAATCTTTGACAATATTGAGAAATTTTTGATTTTTTTTTATAACCGCGAAAAGATGTCAATTTAATTGTAAAACACTCTGTGAAACAAAATAATGGGAAAGTAGATATACTCAGATGTAAAACTCCGAATCGACATTTTGAAAAAATTTTATTCAACGAGACACATATAAGATACCAGCTCCTCCTGTCCTGCTGCATGGCACGCCCCTTTTGACGTCCTATTTAGAGCTCTGTTCTACACCGGACCCACACCCAATAAAGTGACCGCTGCCGACCGCTCTTTCGTCTTCACCGTCTACGATTTCCATACTATAAACTTGATCAGAATTGCTATAGTCAGGAAGTTCAAGAGAAGGGTGTGCGGGTGTGGGTCTGCTCTTGATTGAAACTCACACCCAATAATCTGAATTATATGAGGTCTATAAAATGACATCAACATATTGGTTTAATGAATGTCTTCGACTCATTTTAAGAAGATGATTGTTTTAGAATACATGTTGGTCTTCTAAAAGGTATATGCTGTTTGGAAAATCTCGTGAAAAACACTCGAATGAGAAATATAACTTCTATAAAATTTGTAAAATATACTTGGTTTTTCAAAAATATGGCTATGGTTGATGATAAGAAGTAGTGTTGATATTTCATCCCTTTAAAATTTATGTAGTCAACTGTGTACGAATTCGATCTTTAAATATTGAGTGTTTTTTGCTGCAACACAAAATGCATTTTGTGTCGCAAGAAAGTCGTTCAAACTATTTTAGAGAGATTCAAGTCTCAAGATAGTACAACAATTTTCGAATCTTCAGTGAATTTTTCAAAATGATAATTTCGACAGCACAGAAAAATTATGAATCTTTTTCTGTATGAAATTCTCATATTTGAAATCAAATCCATACTATTAAAGGAAATTTTAACTTCTTCAATGCAGAAATAAGACAGTACAAAAACATCTATCTATGGTTGATGTGTACATGAAAGACAAGTAAAATAATTTTTCAACATGAAATTTCTATTCAAATAGAATTCTTAATGCAATCTGTGATGTCCTTGCTAATAATATACATTGAACAATGAAATTATGTCGATCCCAAGTTGTTCTATTGAATCATATGTTACAAAGAAAGGTATAATGCAGAATAGAGGCGAAAACGTTAGCAAAAATAAATTGTTAGATACATTTGAAAAATTGAGAAAGGACATGTTGTGATTGTATGATTCAGAAAAACTAAACATACCAATAGATTATTCTAAAAGTTTTTGCTTATTATATTAAAGACTATAGATTGTGATCTGATGAAAAGCAGATGATTTTAAAATAGAATTATTTACTAATAGTTGAATAACTTTGATACTTATTATTCACAACGATAGTCTAGGCAGAACTATATAATTCTGTAGTACTTTAGCATTTTTTAGTTAGTGTGTTAAAAAAAAAAAGAATTTTGCTCAAATCTGAACTAATATATATTCAAGCAAGAGTTGTTCCTGACAAGCAATGCTATGTTTTCAGAGATCAAACTACACTTTTTAGAACATTTAATAGATGATATGAATAGTCTGGCAAAAGTCGTAAACACGTGAAATAGGAGATCCCATCTATTTGATTTGTACTTCAGGCCATATCTTTTATAATCATCCTCAAGTTTAACTGTTAGCACATGTAAATAACCATCATCTTTTTAGGTTTCAGATATTTGGAGTTTATTTGTTGGATGCTTTCATAATTCGGATTAGCTTGTACTTGAAATTCATTCATTGTAATATTGTAGTTCTCACTGTTGGGATCAAAAATCTATTATATTTTTTCAGATTGAAGAAGAGTTTGATTGCGGAAAATAAACTACTATGTAGTATGAACTTGAATGCAAAAGTGAAAGTTAAATAACTAAAATCAAAATTTAACAGTTTGAGACTCTAATTTGCATTGACTTTTGTCATTCATAACAAAAACAATTATTTTCTCTCATTATTCTCAAATTTTATCTATGAATGGTATAACAAATAATGCATCAGCATTACCAAATATTTATTTAAGAAGTATTGATTTATCATAATCCATTTCTGAATATAACAGAGGTGTTCACGGGACAGAACAGGGTGTCACATAGAACAATGCCAGTGGGGTAAGGTACATATTTTTAACTCTGTAACACCCTGCTGAAAAGAAAGTCATCTTTTCAACTTTTTATACTGAAAAAGAACATGATTTCAGTCCTTCAAAGAAATGAATATCGAGAAGACCGTGGATAACAGTACATGTAACATTTCATGTTTTCCTCTGGAAGTCCGCATTAAAATCAACATGGTCCTACTACATCAAATGAAGAACCAGAATTTTCTACAGTTGATTGGATCATGATTAAAAGGACCGAATCTTCAAGGAATCTATTTAGAAAGCGTTTTGTTATTCTTTCTTGTTGTAAGTGGTAATAGTTTTAAAATTTTTTCTTCTTTTTTATGTCAAATTTTGTTTTCAAATGAACATCTAGAACTAAATTATCTATAAATACAGTTGTATTTAAAAAAGAACGTGAACCACATGGATAATACGTTTAGGTATAGTTTGATTGATTTTTCATGTGTCCTCGAAAAAAAAACTAACGATTCACGTGTGTTAGTTGGAAATGAAAAAAAAAAACTGCTACATGACTATATAGCGATGTGACAATAAAGTTGTGTTAGCGATACGAAAAACTAGAAAATAGAATGAGAAATAATATTTACAATATCAAAAATTAGGAATCGGTGAAACTTTCCTAATGCGAAGCTAGAAATATAAAATTCGAGATCGAGAAAACAAATGGATACAAGCTTTTAAATAGGTGGAATTCGGTTGAATGATTGACTCTATGCAATTCTTTTTCAAAAGTTCAAATGCTTTTCAGGACTAATATAGGAATGCACCGGTTTCGATTCTAACCGATAGCAGTTCCGGCTTTAGAACCGAAACCGGAACCGATCAGAACCGGCAGAAACCGGAATCGGTACATCCTTATATACACCCACACTCTTAGTTAGTGATACTGTAGTATTAACATTGAATAAATGATTAATTTATTGAGCAGACTTGTATATAATTAAGAGTAAACCTTTATTTCATTTCAGAATATAAAGAAAACAGTATATATAGAAATTGCACAGCATAATTAGATAATCGAAATACTAGAAATAAATAAGAGTAATCATTAATCTATAGAAGTGTTGAGAAAGAGACAGTGGTAGGAGGAGAAAAGCATAAAATGACAAGATAAATATATGATAATTAGTATACGAAAAGTCTGGAAGTCGCATTTTTCTCTTGTTATGTCACATCTGTTACTCAATTTATTGAGACTAGTCTTTGCGACATGGCTCGCAACTGAATAAACACTTTAACGTGCGCCGAATATGTGTCATACTGTAGCGAGCTTGTGACCTATATTCTGATTTACCATAGAGAAATAAAAAGGTGAGTGCACGAAAAATTAATCCCATGAAGATAAGCCAAAAATATGGATTTTCACTGTCGCTAAACGAATAATAAGTTCGAAGACCATCAACCGAAGTTGACCATAAATGTTGCGTGCTGTTAGGAGCTTTGTTAGCGTAAAATGTCGCTTCGTGACGAAATAATAAATCTTGTATTTGATGTGAAAAAAATTCCGTGCTATTAGTACCTCCTTTGAGGTACTGTGTCGTTTCGTGACGAAATAGTAAATTTTGTATATGCCGTGAAAAAGAAAGAGTTACGATAAAACTTCCATGACCAAGCTCACTCTTGGTTGGACTAAAGCCTGACAAGAGACAGGATACGAGAGCAATAATGGTACCGGCAAGATAAGCGAATTCAGTGCGATTGAAAATCACTGAAGTTAATTGGCCAATGCCTGAGCAAACAAATGAAAGAAGTATCATCACGCTGAGATAGTACGAAAACGGACCGCGTGGAACAATTGCAATATAAAGCATACTTAGAAAGAGTAGTGGATATAAGATCAATCGAAAAGTATCAACCAAACTCTTTGCAAGCCAATATTGAAATGGATGAAAATAACTTCGACTTTCTCGTTCGTAAGTTCGATCAGTTATCTCGATACCAAACAGACGTTGACTAGATATACATGTCAAAATGCCGAAAGCCAATGTAATGAGAAAATAGATTGTAGGCAAAACTTGAATATCACACGTGCCTTGTTGTTTATTTTCGAATAAATAACCGAGACAGGCGCCAAGTAAAAAATAAGAAAATAAATAGGTGGCTTCAGCAATGGCACTACGTATATAATTCTGCAGTACCGAACGTGACATTACATAATAGAATGGTAACCAGGCTCGTTTATTACATGATATTATAGCAAGTGTCTGCTTGCTTCTTTTTCTTTCTACTGAATAATTATCGATATGATTCTGTGCTTTCGTAAGCATTATAAAACAAGTATCGCAATCGTTGTGGCGAGGTGGAGGACGCTGTTGTGAATCAGAAAAGATGATTTTTTCCAAATATTCTTTTGCTTGTTCTCGTGGACCTTGATAAGCCAAACAACATAACGGAGTCAAAAAGAAAATATCATCAATTTTTTCGTATAATTCTTGACTTGGTTGATGAATGACCATAATAATGGTTACTGGTCCAGCTGCACTATGTTTTATCAATTGTAACAAGTCGAATAGATCATCACATGCTACTGTATCTAAACCCGATGTTGGCTCGTCGAGTAGAAGAACTTTTGGACAGGCAGCAATTTCCATTGCAATATTGACTCGTTTCCTTTGACCTAAACAAATTGAAATGAATTTCTCAAAATCAAACGATTCGAAATAATTCACGAAGTTCAAATCAGTATTTGATTTAGCTTTTGTTGTTCCTTGCATCCTATGGAACATATTCTTCAGGCGTTATGAATTTAGAATTCACTGAAAAAAGGATCAAACATGATATGTGACAATAGAAAATGATTCATGTGGTAGTAAGACTGTAGATTGTAATTTATTTGGTTTAAGGAAGACTACTTGAACTTTTTTTGAATTGATATGTTATTATTTCTCTGCCTTTTCTGATTAATCGATATATAAATAGTTTTATTATTACATCGCATGACTATTTTTTTTATGGATTTTCTTTTCTTTTTCGTTTGATAGTGAATTGGGAAGAGTGTGACGAATAAGTCATCAGTCAGTATTATCGTCTGGTTTCCGATCCACTATTAAACAAAAAAGAAAAGAAAAATGCATAAAAATGAATCATGTGATGTAATAGTAACAATTATTTACATGTGTAGAAGGCGTTCAAATTTCTTACTGGTTGTCTGATAAAGATTTTATCAAATAAATTGTAATATTCTTTCACCTAACAGAGATATAAAATGAAACAAGTTATCGGACCATCTTTGAAGTTAGAATAGATTAATTTTTCTGTCATAATTAAGTGTTCGATTCCGCTCATCTATACTTTTTTAAGTTGCTATTAGGATTGATGTTTTTCCTACCTCCAGATAAAGTTTTTGTCATGCTGTTATGCATGTTTTTCAAACCCAATTTGTCAATAACGAAACAAACGTCACTTATAATAACATGCTTTGAATGATTGAGCCGCCGTGTTCGTGCCGAATAATACACGGTTTCAAATACTGTTAGATTTTCATGCATGATATCGGCTTGTGGTACATAGCCAACATAATCAGTGAGTACGTTAGATAATGGATGGTAGTCAGAAAATGTGATTAAGCCATTCTTCCGTGGTCTTCGTCGACCGTAAATTGTTTCCAAAAGACTACTCTTACCACAGCCAGAACCACCCATCAATGCTGTTAACCTTCCGGCAATTATGTGACCTGTGAATCCCTGATTTTTCACAGGATCGAAACGGGTAACATTTCGTAACTTTGCTTGATAGAGGTGAATATTAAGCTGAAATTGTGGCGACGAACAATTTGATTGGTCAGATTCTCTAAAGTAATCACTAATGTCAGAAGAATTATCTAATGTATGTTGTCCAAAAAGTTTTTTTTTCAAAATAAGCCATTGAGAAATTTTGGCAGAAGTGGCAAAAATGACCAGGATAACGATAGTAGAAATAAGGATACTTCCTATAAGATATCTTCGTCGAGCTCTTCCCTTTAAACAGACAAAGGAGGATGGACAAGGCAATGGCTCTAGAACACCAGTTGGACAATAGCTTGTGTGATTTGGACACGACGTCATTGTACTGGGACTTGGACAGTAGAATCTAGATGAACAGAACCCTTCAAATGTCGATCCACCACACCCATATTCATCAAAATCGTTTGGCTGTTGTTTTGGGCATTTCACTGGAGTTTGACAGATTCCATCGATTGATTTCAATGGCGATGGACAGTAGGAACCCGCTCGACAAGGAATCATACAGACTTGTCCATCCGGACAAAAATAACCAGGACAGCAGGCCAACGGTCTACTTTTATTTTTCAATAGAAAAAATCCTGATTGACATTGTTTTCGGTCTTGACCACATTCACGAAAATTGTATACTGTATTTACGGCATCATTAGAATTAATATAGAATTCTTTGATGATTTTGGACGGGCAAATATTTTGTGCAATGAATAAGTCATCGTTACATGAAGCACCAGCTGAACATTGAGAATTGAAACTCCACTGTGTTTGACTTTGATTCGGTTGACATTGTAAACATGACAAACTGCCATTCAAAGGTGTCTGATTCTCTTTATAACATTGACTTGCAATATAGCAAGAGTTTTTAGCAATGATACAAATGCCATTTTTACAGGTTTGGCAAGTTGAATTGCAGTCTGCAGGGCACACTGCCGATAGAATAGCTCTCACGTGAATGAGTGTCACGAAGAGAAGGAGCATAGACGATGACGCTGGCAATAGCATACTATTGATGATCATTTAGCTATTAACATTGATAAATTGTATTATAAAATTCTAGGCACCAATAGCTGTCAGTATTACAATATTATCATCATACACTGAGAATAGCAGCATAAATGAATAGCTCTTTATCATACATCATTAATGACAAGAAGAAGAAAAAAAAAGGCATTCTTTTCTCGAGAAAAAGAACAAACAAACAAGCATGGATAGCGAAGGCACTTGCTGCTGAGAGACGAAGAGGACAAGGGGAGAGAGTCAAGTCAAGAGATCAGATTCTAACAGATCTGTTTTTCTATCTAACGACGTATAATTATCCGTTTTTTTTTCTTCTTCATAGGTTCCATTTCCTCGTTCTTCATATTTTTTCTCTGAGAATACATGTGTTGAATAGCATGTACAGTCGGATAGAGATAGAATCAATAGACAGAAAATAGTACAGTAGCTGAAATAACTGTTAAGGACGGCACTTAATAGTAGCAGCCATCCGTCAGCCTTCGTTTTTTTTTGCTCTCTCAATAGTGTTTACTATTCTACTGACGGCAATCAGCGAGTTCTTCTCATCCAAGCAAATGTTGTCAATCAAGAATCTTTTTAAATGCAAATTTGGTAATATGGTTGATGCAAAAAGAAAAATATTGTGTCCTGGATGTGTGTGTTTTCTTTATCTTAGTAATAACTGCACATATGTATCGCAATGACGAACGGCTAGATAAAAAAGAAAAAGAAAGAAACGATAGAGATAATCCTAGTACAAAGATGCAAACAAAAGAAGATAAAAAGTAAAAAGAAAAAATTATAACATATGTGAGAACAATGCTCGTAATATTTGGAGTCTATCGTGTCCCCCTTGACCAAAATTGTACTACACACGACTAAAAACAAAATACGTCAGGAAATTTACTGGAACAGAAAAACTATTTTTCGATGCATGTTGATTCGAATGAAATACTTGATACTCGATGATACTCAAACAACGTATAGGATGTTCAGAGAGTAACTTTACAAAAAATAGTTTATGTTCATATCTTCACCATATTTTGAACAAACAAGCTCAAATTTTTCCTACTGATAAGGCAGTATGCATAACTCATATACATAAAGGCAATATTTTCAAAAATTGTTTAGAAGTAGTACAAGTCATTTCAACAAAAAGCTGTAACCTTTCATGAATGATAAAAACAATACTGCAATTTTCTTAATAGCTAAAACTTATAGAATAACTGAGTGTCAAGATGCGCATCTTTCATATTAGTATAAAAGCAAATGACAGTAGTACGAAGAAGTAGTCTGACAATTTTATGTCGTTGATTTTTGACTATGGAAATAGAGATATTCTTTTTTTTTGTCGAAGTTAGTTGTGCTACTTCTAAACAATTTTCGATAACATTTTCTTTATGAATATGAGCTTTGCATACTTCATTATCAGTGGTAAAAATATCAACTCATTGATCTCAATATAGTGGAGATATACATTAAAGCTATTATTTGTGAGTGTGAATGTGTGTGTGTGAGTGGACGCAGAGGATCCATACTCGCACTCTACTGCGTGGTTTTGGAAACAGGTAATTGACCCAGTGAAACAGCGATTTTGACCCGGTATTCACGACATGGATTAGGAATATTGTTAGTCGAACAAAAATATAATTTACAATGACTATCATGTTGTTGTTCAATAAGACTTCTCATTGGAAAGTTCAAAAATATTCAAGATCCAATGAAAATTGAAATGGAATTATTACGAATTATTTATGGTTTATTGAAAGATAAATTATTCATTT